GATTTACCCACTGCTCAATGAGACTCAGAACTATAGCTCCCCATGCAAGGTCACTTCCAGCCAGCATGCAATATTGCTGGGGTGAGAACAGGGGGAGAGAAAGACTGATAGCAGAGATGATGAGGGAGGATAAATACTTGACACACAGATAACCTTCGATGAGAGCATGCACAGCTTGGAGCTTATCTCAACTGAGACAGGTGACAGTGAAACAATGGCAAAATAAATGGCCAGAGATGGAGGAAAAGCCTCCACGGGGCGGAGGATGTTTAAATATTCTTACCTATGATGGGAGCCAGACGGAAAATATCAGACAGGCGGCTGTTCACGGGTTCATATGGAGAGTCTTCTAAGAAATCATTACCTGCGAGAAAGATGACAGCATGTTATAGATACATTTTCGGCCTCCTTCTTGTGTTGTTAATCACCCTTCAGCCCATACACTGGCCTGCGTGTGACACGGGTTATTTGGGTCAGTCGATATCCACGCTGGCGCACAGCCACATGCTTGATTAGGCAGGTTGGTCAGCTGTGTTGCGCAACTGGAAGTCGACTCGCTGGCGATGAGCTGGATGCAGTTTGGGGACTAAAAGGCCCCCCTGCTGTGATCGACACTTTGAGATGGCACAGCTAGCGCTAAGGGGCTTCACGCTCTATTACCCTCGAGGGAAGTGATTTGAGAGGTCAGAAGGTATCTGAAGCTCAGTAGGACCACTTCTGTGAACCAAGTCAGGGGGGCAAATTTGTGTTGTGCATGATCGCATTGGTTGTGCGCTACTTGTTTTTTTTTTCTTATGTTTATGGAAGCAGATAAAATGAGACTATAGAACTAGAACAAAAGGAAAGGAGGGCGAGGACTCATTTCGCTTCCGGAGGAGCTGGAAACCAATCATGTCACCCACTTTCAAGACAGATCAGAAGGCTTAAGCTGTTATAGTTGAAAGCCCTGAAGTGGTGGGGTTTGACTGGGTTTGTGACACCCCCAGAAAATTATAATAACAACATTAGATGACAATGAGCTACTTTTAAATTCTATGATAGACTTTTAAACTATAACAACACAAATCTATATTTTAATTAGAAGATGGTTAAATAGTTCTAAACATAAATCTGTAGCTCGGGGTCGTTTATTTTGTACAAGAACACACACAAAAAAAGTTCCACTAAAGTCTTAAGCCAACCTTGTAAACTCTGATACATCCCCCAGTAAATGCGCAGGCAGTTCTTCTCCTTCTTCATGCCCCTTTTACACCGGCAGTTGTACAGCGGGCTCTGTTTGAGCGCGTCAATCGCGCTCCGGCACTCGTCCTTGGCTTCCAGGCCGGCCACCATGCTGAAGTTGCTCTCCTTGCCGCCGGCCACGCACTGCCTCATCGTGCGGTACTTGGTGCTGCACGCCTGCTCCTTCAGACACTGCTCGTTGGCCCGCACGCAGTCCAGCCGGGTGGCCCCGGCACGCAGGTTCTCCTCCGCGTAAGACAACACATCTGAAAAATAAAAGTTTTATCCGTCGCGCGTTTTCTCACTTTCCCAGTAAACACTGGAAGCTTAAGCACTTTTCAAGCTGCTTTAGGGATTAAAATATTACACAAATATGAGCTTTTATTATGAACCACATGTAGGTCGCCACAAAAGAGTACACGGGCTATTTTTTGGAGCCGCTATTTTGGAGCAGTTATGCACATAGTTGCCTAACTGGCACTTTAGTTCAGCTGAAAGTAGAGTATAAATTGCTGTCAGATTCACTGTTGTTTGTTGAGGCACTGACAGCTCCTCAGAGTTTTTTCTTTTTGGAGCAGTTTACTGCACAGTTGCGACCACACTGTACTGCGAGCAGCCGACGCGTCTGCCGGGCGCCTCTTTATTAATAGAGCGCAGAATGTCGCTACTAAATATTTGATGAAACTCTATTATCAATTCGAAGCGAGCAGTTGCTGGTGTGAATCAACTTAAACTTACCTAAAACAGGAAGAAGAACATAAAACACAGCGAGGATCATCGTTTTTCCTCTGCGTGGGAAACAAAACCCCTTGTTGGAACGTAATTTCTTAAGTTGATGCGAATTAACAATCGTTAAATTCCCAGGGTACTTCCACTGTATTGAAATCCATTGAAAAGGTGCAGCACTGCGCGCTCCTCTGTATACAGGACAGATCCGGCTCGCCTCATGCGAGAGATAATTTCCCCTCCAAACAAAGTGTCCAGTCCCGATTTCTGCTCTTTCCTTGACTCAATAGAGGGAGAGAGAGAGGGAGAGAGAGAGAGAGAAGAAGCGCTTCTTTTTTGTCTTTCCCGGGCGGGTTTGTCTTCTCACCGCGAGGAGACAAAGACAAGGGATGAGAGCAGCGGTGGAAAGCGA